TGTATTGATGCCCCAAGCACGTAACTTCGAACAACCAAAGACAACCACTTGTACTTCAAGAAGCAAGGGACCGCACCCCGTGCTTCGGATCGAGCTAAGAAAGCACGGGCGGACTGTGTGTTACCTTACCGCATTATGCCCCAGGTTTCAGATGACGAAGACTGCAGCACGGGGCTCGAACCATCGACGCCCTCCCCCCGGCGTTCGAAGAGTCTCTCTTTGAACACAGCGCTGGGAACCGCGGCAAGCTATCGTTACACCCCGAAAGGGGATATATTGTTGAGCGGTTTCCAGTCTCCCATACCACAGTCCGGTCTGATGGCTGCGGCCTGGCAGGCAGAAGGGACCCAAGGAAGTGGGGAAATTTCCTCCGCAGCAGCAGCAACGATCAGTGACGGAAGTGACGTTAATCTATCGGCTGCCGTTTTAAACGATGCGGGTGGAAGAGCGGCAACGGTTGGAGGTAGTACAGTCGCTGCCGCTGCCGAAGTTTCTGTCGGTGCGATGGTGTTAACTCCAATGATTGAGCGCGTGGTGCTTCTGGGACGAGTGGGCGAAGGGGAAACCGGCGTGGTCTACCGCGCGTTCGACCTGTTGGACTTGGGTCTCGTAGCTGTGAAGATGATCCCTGTGAACGATCAGAAGAAGAGGCGGCAGCTCGTGCACGAGGTCTCGTCTTTGTACGACCGCCTCAGGATGCGGGGGCAGGGACGGCGAAGGGCCACTGAGTACGGGTTCAAGGAAGCGGACTTTTCGTCGGCGGTTGCAGCCACGCGCGCGACGGCGCGTCACTGCTCTTGGCCGACCAAAGAAGGAAGCAAGACGGCGTCAAGTCTCGCCGTCCGTCCACCCGGCTCCGAGCACATCCTTGAGCTCATTGACGTGTTCGCCACGACGTCGAACTCGACCGTGTCGCTCGTTGTGGAGTACATGGACGGCGGCAGCTTGCAGGTGCAGTGAATAGAACATGCGGCAGAAAGTCGCTACAAATACTGTGATTGTGAAACAACGTCATGTGGTAGTTTTCTTTTGGGGAAGAAAGATGGGACATACATACGTCTTACCGAGCCCCGCCCCATGCATATGCAATCCATAGCTTCGTCCGAACGACCCCCCCCCCCCCCCCCCCCCCCCCCCCCCCCCCCCCCCCCCCCCCCCCCCCCCCCCCCCCCCCCCCCCCCCCCCCCC